GCCTTGTTACCTCTCTAGTGTCATCTCTAACCGCCTTGCTCAGCCATATTGTCTCCCTTGGTGTTCTTTGAACATGCCAGGCATGTGTCCATCTCAGGATTTTTGCGTTATCTTTTCTACTGAATTGCCTTTCTCCCAGATATCTGCAGGCCAATTTATTTACCTTCCTTTGGGTTTGTTATTAAAAGGTCACTTTCCAAATGAGATCTTATGCGCTCACTGTCCAGATGTCCCTGCTGTGTATTTTCTGCTTAGCGTTCATCTTATCTAAAAAACGATCTATTCTATATTTATTTGTCTTAACTTATTGTCATTATCCTTCACAAGCATAGTAGTTCCTTTTATGAGGGCAAGAGTTTTTGTTTGCTTTGATTTTACTCTAGAGTAGTCCCTGGCCCTCAATGAGTGAGTGAATGAATGAATGCTTAATTTAGCGAATATTTTTTAAGGACTTACTATGACCTGTGCTAGCTGATGGGGATACAGGAATGAAATGCACAGTTCCTGCCCTCGGAAGTACAGTTTGAAGGGGGTTGGATAGTAACAGCAGTATGAATAGAATGTTATCATCACTTGAGGAAGCAGCATTTGAGTCAGATTGTGTTGGGCTCATGAAAGTCTTCCTGAAAAAGGTAACCCTTTGTATCACTCAGAATAGCCCAGTGCTACAGACATATGCTGTAGGGACAAAAAAAGGCCAACTGTCATTGTCTTAACACAACAAATATTTATTTCTCACATAGACTACACACCCAAAATGGGTTGGTATAGACTCTCAGGGCCTGACGTTATTGAAGACTGCATCTGAACGTACTTCCACAGTCACTGCAGAGGTGGGGAGAGAGGTGGCTAATTATGCACTGGTGTGTTTAGAGTTTCATTGGTCAAAGCAAACAGCTTTATTTCAAATGGGAGATTGTGAAATATAACGTTGCCTTCTACCCGAAGGGAAAGGCAAGTTGGAAGATATGTGAATAGAATTAATGAGTTCCATACCTTTCTACTATTTTTTTTTTAATTTTATTTTTAATTTTTTTTACCTGTCGTTCTTTAAAAAAAAAAAAACAAAGAACTTTGTTGTGGTATAATTCCTGTACAGTAAACGATACATATTTCAGATGTACACTTTGATGCATTTTGATAGATGTATATACCCTTCTACTCTCTTAAAGGAGTATAAAATATTTAAATGAAGAAGTATTTGAAAGCATTTTCAGAGAAAGGAAGAAAGTGGGCAAAACCAGTAAGCTGTTATGTAGTATGATCATTTCAGAAAACTGCATGGAATTAGAAGTAGTTGGAGTGCTGTGTGTATGAGGGATAAAGGCAGGTAAAGAGATTAGTGGGAAAAGAGGGTTAGATTATACCATACTATGGAATCAGAACCCTATCATAAAGGACTTAGGGGAACATTGAATGATATATTGAATTGAATTCAGGGGAGTTTCTTGATTGAGAAATTGTGAGGGATTATTCTGGAAGCAGTGTCAGGGATGGCTTTGAGGGGAGGAAAAACTGGAGACAGTTCAGACCAAGTATTGTTACTAACGCAGTCATGCTGGTGAGACCCCTGGGTGAAGGCAATGACAGAGGAGATGGCAAGGAGAGGGACAAAAGGTAAAAAGACAGGAAAAATATTTACGGGGTAGGCTCCAGGGCACAGAGGAAGCAGGACACTTCACATGCTGGCAGGACACAGAACATTTCTTACACTGAGACCAAAGTAAAGGTACGGACGTGATCAGTGTTCGTGCCTGAGCGTGTGTACATGGATTTATGTCTGTTTGGTGTTAGTGTGAGAGAGTGAGAGTGAATTCGCAGAGTGAGTGAGTCTTACCAAAGGATCTGTATTTGCCTTGTGATATGGGAAACAAATGTGCCCAGACTAAAATGAAGGTGAGTTTAAGGAGAGCCTGTAAGCTGGAGTAACTACTGAGTCAGGTGGGAGATGGGGTTGACTCGGGGCTCAGAGGTTGCTGGGCAGTGTTGGGTACTTGTATAAAATCAGATCAAAAATTTCTTGCGAAAATTGCTTTGGGAAGTTCAGTTGCTTTTTTCTTTAAATTGTTTACAGTTCAGCAATAATTTGAAAATGTACACTTGTAAAAGAATTTTGTGTATGCTGTTTCCATTAGAGGGACCCATGATACATAATCTATCCCCTGCCCCCAAATTTTGGTTACTGTGCTAATAAAGACCCAGTTGTTTTATATCAGAGGAAAATTTTCTAAAACTACTGAGGTAGTTATCCAGTGCTTTTATAAAGTTATTTTTTAAATTATAGACCAAAATGTAATAGTATAATATTATAGTGAAGTTTCATTTTCAAAAAGAAAAATAGAGAAATGATCGGAATACTAATGCTATTTTTCTTAAAGGTTTTTGGAAGACATTGGAATGCATTATAATTTAAAAGATATTCTAAAGTTGTATTTCTTGTTTGCCATTGTCTTTTAGACCCATGGTCATTTAAAATATTTGGGGTGGTAAGTTTATTACTGCAAATTCAAGTTTTGGCCATTGACAGAACCAGTTTTTCCTAATGTCAGACTACTACTCTTGTAGAAAGAACCATGCTGACCTGCCCAATGCATGTGGTGGGTATAAAAGTGGATACTGTATTTAATGTCTTATAATAACCTTTAATGAAAAAGAATATGAAAACGAATATGTGTGTGTGTGTGTGTATATACACAACTGGTACGTTACGCTGTACACCAGAAATTGATACATTATAACTGAGTATACTTTCATAATAATAATAAAAAAAAGAGCATTGTGACAGATAGACTTAGTAGAAATGACAATGAGAACTTTCAACTCCTGAACTCCTGGGGAGAGAATAACAAAGAATTGGTGGAAGTGTTGATCTGAGAACACTCTTTTCTTAGACTGGAGGATAATCAGACTTCTGACAAAGCTCAGAGATTCAGTTGTCGGTTTTAAGAATGGGGACTAGGGTTTAAGTTTTTGTTGTTTTAGAAAGTAAGTATTTTTGAATACTAATTACGCACATATACTGTAAGCATGTAAGTGATAATCTATTTATCCAGTATTTCCAACACTTATTAACAATAACACAGCATATGTAATTTGGCATTTTAAAGGTTATCCAAAGGTGCTTTTGTTGAAGCAACTTACCTGGTGAAAGAAGGTGGTTAGGAGACCAAATAGTAGCAGAAAGTACGCAATTTATATGTAATTAAGTTTTATGTAGGATACATATTATGAGACCATTCTTTTTTTTTTTTCTTTTTTGGATCTTAATTGACTTTTTAAATGAATGTGAGGTCATCAAATTCAGGGTTTTTTTTGTCTTAAAAAGAACCTATTTGGGCTGTGTGGTGCTTCAACAGTGAGTAACTAATTAAGCCAGCATGATGTAATGATATGACAACATTTATTGAGCACTTACTATGTGAGAAGTACCATATTAAGTACTTTAAATGAACTAGCTATTCAGTTTAATGCTTACAGCAGCCACAGGGGAGAGGAATTCTTACTGTACTGATTTTAAAAATGGTAAATGAGCTTAGCTTGGTGAACAACTAAAAAGTGATGGAACTAGAAAGGAAACGAGTTAAAGTAGGAGAAAGTTAACCCACACTTTATCAGGCTCATTGTCTTGTAAAAGATGGAAAATTTATAGTAATATTTTAAAATGCAAAGCATTTTAAATTAAGTTGATCATAATAAAGCATAAAGTGTGGCTGCTTTAAGTGAACATAACAGTCTTTAGGAAAATATGCACTCAAAAATGTACTGTCTGCTGTGTCCACGTTGTTCTAAGTGTTTGGGATTATTTAGTGTACAGACACTTGTGGTACTACGTTCCAGTGGAGGGAAGTCAGAAAATAAACAATAAAATAAATTTAATGTGAAAAAGGCTTGTTAGCATTTTTAAACTAATAGCTGACAGGCCTAAGGTAAAGTAATTTTTCTCTTGCATCACTGCTCATCTGATTGTTCATATTGTTTTGTAGTGTTTCATCCAGTCATGAAAAGGATGAAATATTTACTGCAATAATATGGTTATTTATCTTAAGTAGTTAATTTGAGATTAAATATCATTGACCATTCCTTTGAAGAAATCCTCCCCTCTCCTTTCTCCTTCCACACTGAAGATGCAGCATTCCAAGGAAGCAGTTAAGTGTGACTTGTGAAAAAACTGTTTTCTGTAGTGACAGAGCTACGTGGTCCAGGGCTGAAACAGAATGACAGTGAAGAGTCTTAGGACATATTTTTCCTATGAAGGACACACTGAACTGCAGTCTTACTACCAAAATAACTGCCAGTGCTCATGGTTAAAGATTCAGTCTTACTCTCTTTGCTTGCGATATATAGGTGCGTGTTTACATGCATATGAGAAAAAGAAAAGAGAGGATAAACATAAGAATGAGAACGAATTATGGCAAAGCTCCCTAAGTGCCTTTGTTTTAGTAACGTTTCAGAATTCTACCACTGCAATTCAGGGAATTGGTTAAACATTTGCATTTATTGTTAAAATAGAGGATGCTGTTTTCACTCTTATGTCTCTTCTATTTTCCCTCAAGGGATCTCAGAATTACTGTGTTGGACAGTCCTCTATGTAGCTCTTTCTGGTATACCACTCTGAACGTCCCTCCTTGGTAGACCATCTTACATTTATTCTTTCTTGTGAATGCTTTAAGGAGTTAAAAAATGGAAACGTTTATGAACTTCATTACTGAAGTAGTAATAATGTGGTACAGTGAAAAATTAAAATGTTCAATCACAAGGTCATTAACAAAGAATGGAAAATAATTAAGGACGAAAGATGAAAGAAGATTTTTAGATAAAATCAAAACTCAAGTATGAAAAGACCACTGTGCTGAGAAAGGCATGGGGAAGGCTTTTGCAGAGGGTAGAATCTTTATTAAAAGAAAAGTCCATTTCTGTCAGTAACTAGACTTTTGCACTGAAAGAGATAACATGAAAGTCTTTGGAACAGGCTCTAGAAAAGTTTTGGAAAAAGTAAAGATAATGAAAGTGAAATGTAGCTTAGCAATAAACTGTGGGGATTATGATGCATTAAGGAAAATGTGGACCAATCAGAGATTGTGATTATGGCCAATAATGTGGAAAAGTTGGAAAACATTTTTCTTCTTTATTAATTGCTCCATGCAGTTTATTCATGGACTAAGAGTTGTTTACTTTCATAAAGTCCCCTTTTCTGATCTGAGTGAAACAGGCCAAGTTTAAAGGCAGGGACTCACAACAATTCAGTCTTTTTACTGCATTCATTTCTAAATGCCTTATTTGAAAGAGAATGTCCTGGTTTATGATTTTCATATTTTTTTCCCTTTTAGAAAGAGGCAGATGGTATGAAAACTGGACTCCCTCATTTAAAGGGAATGTTGATATTTATAACTAAGCTTATCTCCAGAAAGATTTGTTTTTTGCAGCTGTTCCAGGTTGGAAAAAAATATTATATTAAAGCCCTGGCTTGTTTTTCTTTCCATATTTAGGGGGGAAAATCTTCAGAATGTGAAAAAGTGATGTTTGGTTTTAAACATGAATGCAATGTAAACTGTGATTTTTTTGCTCCTATATGTGAATGTTCTGTTGGTGTGCCGTGATGTTACTCTTTTTGTTTCGCTGATCTATTTCGTAGATACATCACACTCAAGGCATAATTTGCTCATCATTTTCCCATCATCAAAGTATTCTAGGAGGAGTAGTAGATTTTCACTGAGTTACTCCTTTATTATTAACCAAACTACTTTCTAACTTTTCATTTTGATATTTTAGTTATTTTCTTTCTCCCAGAGTATACGTGTCACTGGGAAATTAACTTTTTCTATTCTTGTTCATAGTACATTATTTTCTATGAGATGTATTTTTCTTTCTTATTTTCTGTTCTTTGCTTCTATTTTCAATTATAAATGCTGCTGCTTTTCTCTGAACTTATTTCAGAAACTTACCTTTATAATTTAATTGAAAATTAATTGTATTTTAGGCTAAACTTAATACATGGAGCTGTATCTCTTTGGGCACATGATAACACTAGAATGAGTATCTAAGCTTGTACATGCATGTAATCTTTGTACATATGTGTTCTGATTATGTACCCACACATACACAATTTTCCATAAAGAAGAGGATTTTAGTAATAGGTATATTGATTTACTGTGAATAGATGTGATTATTGATTTAAGTGGAAATAACTTACACAGTTTCCTTGTCAAATTAAAGCAAGCCCCACTCTTTATGCAGAGATTACCTTCTTGAATATGAAATACTTTGCAAATTATGACTATGACAGACGTATATTTTTCCTTTCTAATAATTAAAACTGAAACTTTCATTTAAAAGTTTTTATTGTCTCTCCATCAGCACTCATAATTAAACGATTTAGCTTAATATTGTGAAGACCGGCGTATTGCTTAACTTTGTGAAATCAACCGTTACTAGTAGCAAACGATTTAATTATTTCCAGAGAGTTTCTGGCTGTTTTCTGAATAAACCCTTTGAATTTCAA